TTAAACCATTACCAGATTTGCAACATTTGTACTATTACAGAACACAGGTGAGACCGTTGCATAGAAGAATGGCAGTGTTATAAATCTCTAAATTACATTTTACTATACGCCCCACTGAGTCAGAGTTTAAGGGAAATTGAAATGGGTACAAATATTTTCTGGCATAAGCATGTGTTTCCATCAGTCCACATGGAGCAATATTAGGGACAAGCAGGGGTAGCAACATCTGACTTTCTGCTGGAGACAAAGTGGCTTATGGGAAAACTTCCATTTGAGAAACACTACCAGTCCATACAGATGTTGTGTCAGTGCTTTTCCGGTTTGGTTATATACATTTGTGTGTTTCTAGACCGATTCACGATGCTGTGGAGAATGACCACCTGGACGTAGTGCGAATCCTACTGTCTTATGGCGCTGACCCAACTCTGGCCACATACTCTGGCCGTGGCCTCCTCAAGATGACCCACAGCGACAGCATGGAGCGCTTCCTGACTGGTAAGATCCCGACTGGCTTTTCAATTGTCATAAACACTATTTATGCAGGTCACTGGTTGCAGTCCACATCCTCACCCAGCCCTGATCTAGAAATGTTCAATGGCTAGACTATAACTACTGAGGACAGCTTTTCTTACCTTCAGTGATCAGGCTCATCTAGATTCTTAACCCAGGATTAGACTGGTTTTGATCTGTTAAATCAGGTGTCATTTTCTGGCAAGAAAAGTGAGGACTCTGGGTTTTGAGGACTTCTATTTAAGCCAGGAGCTCCCTTGCAAGGGATGTCAATCAGAAGTAGTGTTTATCTTTAATTATCCATGAATTAGGATAATAAACATCCAAGCGCTCAGAAGCAGCAACTGCACAGCAAGTGCATCCATCTTTTTATGGATGAGGCTGGTTTTGTCGAGTTTGGAAAAAATGCTTACAAACAGGCTTATAGTTCTTATTACTATTAATGAATGTTACAAATGGTATAGGAGTTTGATTTGAATTCTGTCTTATGTAATCTAAAAACAGAGGGCATGACCTTGGTTTTCCCTGATTGAAATTACTGTTTTTATTACCCAAAATGTACAAAACATTTAATGCTTTGCATTTTTTGCAATAGTAGACGGTTTCTTCCTTTGTGCAGAAAAAGTGGAATACAAAAGCCAGGAAATTTGAATATTAATGTGGCTTTGACCACAAATCATAAAATCACAAATGCTAGAATGGGAATGAATTAAAACCCTAGGAGATAAAAGGGTTTTCAGACAGCGGCTACACTAGAGAGTGGATATTGAGGTGGGGCAAGGGTAAATAGTTGAAAGGATTGGGCTGCAGCCCAGTTCCCAAATGCCCCATTCTTGGCTCATTCACTGTTTGCTGTTCTTTCAATGCTCTGACCTCTGCGCAACCTGTTGGTGTGAGTCCCTCTCTGTAAATCCTCACCCTCCGCCTCCCAACCGCCACTACAAGACATGTCCATCTCTGTCAACCCGTTTCCCCTCCGGCACCCTCCCCCTCTGCTCCTCTCTCCCCCTCCCTCGACCACCTGTTAGACAGGGAGTCTCAGCCCGCCGGGGTGCGTGCTGCTGCCTCTGAGCTCCTCTATCTGGTTACTTAGCAACGCCAACTGTGTTTGCTCAGCGTACGTGCGGAAATGGGCTCCGCTCTGGCTGGAGACTCTGCTTTTGTATGCGTGCGTGTGAGCGCCTGAGTGTGTCTTTTCACAAGGCTGCCGCGCTAGAGTCTGACGTGGTCTGTGTTTGGGGCGTGTGTGTTGAGAGGGCTCCTCTGATGTTTGTAGTGAAGTTGGGACAACATGAGTTTGTGTATAGGAGGAGGAAATGAAAGCATACACTTCCTCTGTAGCCAACTGCTTAATATTACATGAGCGTCTAACTAGTTAAAACCGATGACACGCCAGAGGCGCCAGTAAAAGACACGAGACACAGGAGAAAAGATGGTAGATCAGGGTGAAAATGAACAGGTGTAAGTTCACGTCCGGTAGAAAAGGGTGAACAGGATTAGTGTAAAAAGGGAGATTTATACGTAGACGGCTAGGAAAGATGGTGTTGAATTTTGAAAAGAGCGTGGATGGACAGATCGATGGCTGCTAGATTGACAGAGTGGGGAGCGAGGGCGATCGAGCACCGGAGAAAATGAGTGAGAGCGAGCGATTGCTGCCCTCCCTCCACCTGGTCCCACTCATCTGGAGGCCGTTAATCCCTCCAAACACACGCCAGACGCCCCACGCCTCAGCACTGGCACAAAGCCCAGCTCTCACTCTGAGTGTGTGTGTGTGTGTGAATGGGCTTCATTAAGGTAGAAAATACCATTGAAAATTGTGAAAAAGGTCCACTATTTTTCTTAAGGCCAAGATGACTTTGTTGGCATTTCATTGTTTGTTCGGCTGCTCGTTCTTTCAGGGTCACGCTGCTCAGGATGTAAGCGAACGTGAAGATTTTACGGAGATTATTAAAAGTTTGTTGGAGCAGTTGATAAAAACACAGCAAACTTCCTGGAGTCTCTGCCGGTTGCCAGGCAATGACTCAGCAGAGAAATAGTTTGGCACATAACCCTCATAAAACAGAAAATTGTTGTTTATACATTTAAGTTTTTGAATGTATATATATATAACATGTTAATTAGTGAGCTTTGGAGGCGCTGGTAGAGAGATTTTGTAAATGTTGGACAGAACCAGGTCAGCTGTTTCCTTGTTTCCAGTCTTTAAGCTAAGCTAAGTGGCTGCTGGCTGTAGCTCTATTTGATGGAGAGATTGGAGAGGGAATCAGTCTATCTCTCTACATGTTGAACTGTTGATTTAACACAAGGTTAAAACTTTTATTCCACTTTAATTTCAGATTTAAAATTTCTTGCGTGCAACTGTCATCATTCTGAGATCAGAAACTAAACTCATTAATTTACACACAGATTTCTGGATTTAAAGGTTAAAAGTATAAACTCACTCACAGGTTTCTCAAGAGTCGCTGTGAATGTGGAGCTGAATGGAGCCTGATTACTATCGTCACCCACCTGTCGGAGACCAAAACCTGGCTGTAAACATGTTTATTTCTGCAGTATTTTAATATAAGGCCTTATGGAGACTGACTCACTGCTGGAGGCGGACTCTAGTAGCCGTTTCAGGAACTGCAGTTTTTGTTATTTGGCTTCATTCACCAACCACAGAGGTCAAAACACTTATTTTTGATGTGTGAGATAATGTGTGTTAGGATAGGGCCTGCCGTTACTCAGTGACGTTGGTTCACTGTGGAGCCTTGTTGTCATATGACATCAGTGCCGCCAATAGACAAACAACAACAACAACCCTACCGATGATGTCATCAGACCGCCATCTGTCTGTGAGGTGTCTTGTGGCGGTCGGGGGTTTCACCGGTGTGAGACGAGCCTGCAGTGAATCCCTTCACACTGTCTCTACTCGTCATTTCACTGTTGATAAACTCAACACATTCACAGAGCCATTAATGATCAATGATTATTGATTGATGACAGCGGCAGAGAGTTAAACGTCTTCTCTGAGGTTGATTTGAAATGATGGCGGACATTTTGTTCTCTCCAGTGTGACACTCTGTGAGTTAAAGGTTGAGGCTCCTCCGATCACTACTGAAGGTCATTGTAGTTTTCAGCAAACGTTTGTGAATGGATTAATCAATTAATCGATTCCACCGGGCTCTATGACGTTGCGATGCCTACTACGGCTTCATACCTCAGTGGTGTTTCAGAAGTTCATCGTCATATCAGGACACTTTACAAACAGGTCTGGACCCAAACAGCTCCCACTGTGAGCAAGCAGTTGGTCGAATGTTGCAAATGTTGATGATTGTTGATGTTTTTATGATTTATTTTGAAAAATGACCAGATGCTGTTTGACGTTTCTGTGTCTGACTTCCTGCCTGACTCGATCTGCTCTGTGCTTCACGTGGCGTCAGTCAAAAATAGACTTAGTGCGTATTTTAAGCAGAGCAGAGAGCTGCTACTGAAACGGCTGCAAGGTCTCTTGGAATCACAAGCGTCGTCTAAAATAGCAGCTCCAGCGGCCGCGTTGCACCCGGTGGAATATAAAGTGAATGTTTCCAGCAGCAGGACGGTGAATGTAGGATTAAATCATAATAAACTACACTGTGTGTGTTCATGATGAAGAAAGAACTTCTTAATTAAAAAAAAAATAGTTTCTGGACAACAATCGAGCTCTATGGCACTAATATATATACATATATATATATATATATGTATATATATATACATATAGTGAGAGAGAGACAGAGAGAGAGAGAGAGAGAGAGAGAGAGAGATCTAGTAATAAGCTTCATCAGGCTTTGGCTTTGAATTAAAGACCAACTCTGCCCCTCTATGCAGCTTTTGGCTTCCTGGACTGACAAAACCTGGCTTGTATAAGACTCAAAGTACTGTAAAACGTAGACATCTACCAGCTACTGACACAAATGTTCAAATTCACCATCAATTTATTAATAAATTAGTATTTTGTGTCTGAAATCTACCATCTACTTTCAGATTTTACCTTCATTTGGGGGTTAATGGTGCTACATTCCCACCCGGCAGACAGACAACAGTAACAACCCATAGTGTACACTCCTTGTGTGGTCTACTGGACACTATTTTTACTACTTGTTTTTTGTATTTTTCCATTGCAGCCGTGTTGTTGTAGGAGGGAGGGTGTGTTATTTTATGCTAATACTATCTGTTGTATTAGCTTTGATTTTCTTGGAAATGTGCACTGGATTCTCGTGTCCTACATACTTGTAATCCTGAAATGAAACATACAGAGGTAGAGAATAGCTGAGGAAAGAGGAACATCTGTTGTATAGTTTCCTTAGGAGTTGGTGGAGACCAAACCAGATCTCAATCAGAGCCGCTGCTGCTGGAAACACTGAGACTGAACCAAAAGAGTAAATCTAGGAGGTAAAAGAGGCCAAAATGCACCGTAGAGCTGGTTCACAACTACCAGAAACACTTTAGCACAGAATGATTTCAGCCATTAATTTCCTCCCAGAGAGCATCTGGGTTCAGTAAACAGACAACTTTTATTTCTTATTTGGATACAGGAAGCCGGTTATTGTGGTATGTAAACAGACACTTTTACTGGTCCGAGTGGTTCTATTGGTCCAGGTCAAGAATGTTTGGAGGTTGTTCAGGTTCTGCTGGCTCCAACTCCTGACTGGCGTCCTGTAGGGAGGAGAGGAAATTGTCAAACCGGGAAACCCACATGGAGGGTTGTCCACATACTTTTGGTCATAGAGTGAATATTTATGTCCGATTCCCAGATTTGTCTCATCAGTGTTAGAGGAGGAGGAAGCAAAGACAACAGGAGAAATATGATTTCGATAAGTCATAGCTGAGCAGATCCGACTCACTGCTGCGCCCAGATAATGTTTTATGTTCACACAGTGTAATTTTCACTTGGATATGCAGATAAGTGATTGTACTGTAGAGCCAGCTGTCATAAAGGAGAGCAGCAACACGGTAAATAAATTGATGTGTTTTGTCCGTCGCTCAAGGTCATTTCATCCAGATTTTATGGTTGTGGTGTTATATTGAACGTGTGGCAATATTAAGAGTCAAAAATTACCAAAAAAGTTGGTTTGGCTCAACTTTTGCTACAACACAATGTCTACTGGCAGTCTGTTGTGTCTGATCAAATACATGCAAGCACACATTTCTGTTTTTTTGTAACAATAAAGCTGTATTTTAATGTCTCACAGTATTATAAACTGCTGTACAGTGTTCTGGTGTCTGAGGAACCTTCACATTTACGGATCTGTTACTTCTCCCTGGTACCTGAAGCAACACGGCCGCTTGTGTAGTTTTAACGCAGACTGAATGGCTGCCTACTGGATCCTCAATGAGCAGCACAGACTTTAAATGTAAATATTCAGTCATACTGAGATCGACTCACCCCAAACGGCTCGTTGAAGGCCCTGGAGCCGTTGTACAGCGGGTTGGGGATGGAGACCAGCGTGGGCTTGTTGCTGCCTCCCGCCGCACCGTCCTCATCCTCATTCTGTCACAGAGGAAACAAGAATGACTGTCAGCTGTTAGCAGGGCAACTGTAAGCTAACAGCAGCTGATTCACTGACTGCTGAGATATTAACACACACATTAACATACAAAACTCTTTAATGAATTAAACTCTGTCTGTCACTGGATGCTTTATTGATTGAGACCAATTAATTGAGCTGATTATCTGGCATTTTGAGATATTGAGCCCTGTACTATAACCCTTATACATCCTGTTGAAAACACTTGCCTGAATTGTCTCCATCGTCTTTACTACATGTTAACACTTTTCTCTCAACCTAATTGACAACAAAATCTAATTTAAAACCGTTAATGGCTTTTTCTCTTTGCGTCCAACATGTAAGAGGACCGAACAGCCGCTCTGTGTTCGTGCTGCATGAAGCACATCTGTGTTTATGTGCAATTTGTGCCTGTGCTGGAAAACGGAGGTGATTATTTCTCCAATATCCGAGTTGAAAATAGCCAACACAACATTTAGCCAACAGATGAACATCCACTGACTGAGTGAAGGCCATTTTATTTGCCGGCATCAGTCAACAAGGTGAATATTGTCTGATACCGATGCTGATAAATCATTGTAACGTTCCCTTGTAATTATACAGAGCAACACTTAAAAATAATTCCATCCAAAGTCAAACTAAAACTGAAATTAACACAAAGTCGCCTCCAGAGGTCTAAATAACTCCCCCTGAACTTTTAACTGAACATTTGGTTATTTATTAAAGTCGTTACATCCACCAATCACTGATAGAGAGAAAATAATAAAGCTGTGCTTCCATTATAAGCTTGTTGGGGAAGGAAAGAAATCTGATTACTGCTACTCCTACTGACAGATCTATGAGTTAATAAATTCATGAATTAACCTTTAACTTTTCAACCGAATTCAGTCTAGTTTCAACCTGCAAGTGTGTGTGTGTGTGTGTGTGTGTGTGTGTCTCACTCTGAAGTAGTGGAAGCGGAAGGCGTCGGTCTTGTTTCTGAAGACGTAGTAGCCGAGTGCAGCCAAGACACACACCAGTATCACTGAAACCAAGATGGCCGACACTGTGCCACTCGAGTGGGCGTGGCCTCTGGAAGCATGATGGGAGATCTGGAGGCCACAGGTATGAAACACAAACAAACCAGAATCACTAGATATTCGAGGACATTAAACTTTTTAACCCTCACCGATGGATCACACACACACACACACAATTTGCCACACTGTAGCCATGGAGACGTGACTCTGTGTGCCAGGTAATCACCGGCAGCATTATTTTCCCAGAGGAAGATAAAGATTGAACGAATTAAAATGAATAATTAATATTAAAGCTCCAACCAGGAGGCAGACGGGACTGATCCTCCTGATCCTGGTGACGTGTGTGTGACTAACTCTGGCAGACATTTTGTTTTTCCTCACAGGAAGCATCAAAAACCAAACACCCGGTTGTTCTTCTCTGCCGTCAGGAGTCACAAAGACCCTCCTTCATCGTTACTACCCAGAGAGATAGCAATGCTTGTGAATTCTCTCACTATTTCTTATCGTACGGCGGCTGCACTGGATACATAATCAATATCTGTTACACACCAATCGATTAGAACATTAACACACTGATTATCTATAGAGATTTACAGACACTAAACATACGTTAAAAAATCATCATAGAAACAACTGAAACACAAAAAATATAAAACACAATTAATCACATTAGGAGTAAGAGGGGTTTTGATTCGTGATTTAAACGTGGACAAATCAGAGACAGTCTTGGATGTGTTTGTGGAGAGAGTTCCAGTGGGAGGAGGCAGCTATGGAGGAGACCCCAGGTCCGATGCTTGGTCCTGAGTAGTTGAGATGGGAGGTTGGCATTGGAGGAGCAGGTCTGTGAGGTAGGAGGAGGTGGTGGAGAGCTTTATGAGTGAGAACTTTAAAAACTGTCTGTTGTGGGACAGTGAGCCAGTAGAGGTTTTGAAGGACAGCGAGCGATGGGCAGAGACGAGCTGTTTTTCAGGTAGAAAAATGCAGTTAGTGATTTAGTTGACGTGGTGTTTAAAGGAAAGGTTGCTGTCTAAAGTGACTCCGAGGTTGTGGACGTGTGGGGGAGGGAGACAGAGTGGTGGTCGATGATGATCATATCTGATTTGTCATAGTTTAACAACTTATAGTCTTGTAATTGGGAGTCTTGAAGTTGTTGGGGCACTACAAGATGTTTGACAACCGGTCTGACTGGTCTCGAAACTACGTTTCATCAGGAGTCATTAATAACACCACTACAAGCACATCATGTTAAATTTGTAAAGTATTTGACACACTAAACACACTAAAATAAGCTGATAATTAGTAATCAATACACACAATATTAAACCATTTATCAAACTAATAATCAACAGCTGTTAACATCAGACAACGTAATCATACTTTAACATTTACCTAATGTTTCTGTAGTGGTGACAAAACGCTTCCTGCACCAAACTAGAATTTCTGACATGTCTGTAAAGAAACACGAGATATTGGTATCTGTACCTACAGGTTTGTTGCTACCTGTGTCTGCTCTCACTCGCTGTAGCTCACTGCTCGGCTCCCCGAGTTGTCTATAACATGACCAGATAGTTAGTTTGCTAGATATCCTTCTGGCATCAACGAAGCATCGGCAAGCTCTTGTTGAACCAGCAGGTTGCGTTGTTGAACAGTTCACAGTTCATTTGCAATCTTTCAATCTCCCAAAATAGTCGCGAGTAGAAAATCAGGTCTTAAAATCACGTAGCCAGAGCCAACTTCCACAAACTAAAGCCCAACAGTTTGTGGAAGTTGGCTTGCATCCATGATTTGATTAGAGTGAGGGAGTTATAGTGGAGTCGGTTGTAGCGGTGATTGATTTAGTGGAGATGTAGAGCTGGAAGTCGTCAGCGTATGATGTTACCAAAGGTGGAGCATGTAGAGGATGAACAGGAGAGGACCAAGCACCGAACCCTGGGGGACGCCTTGGGACAGGGGAACAGTGGAGGAGGTGCAGTTGTTGATATTGATTAACTGTTGTCTGTTATATAACTATGGCCAGGAGGGGGCAGTACCAGTGATTGTTGATGAAAGTCACGAAGACAACTCATTTTAAATGTTGATACACATATCGCACAACTGTTGTGAGTAACATGTTCGACAGACAATGTTGCGGCCGTGAACTATAGATTTGATCAGCAGCCAGTAGCTTGCAGTGACTGCTGGTTAAATGAGTTATAATTATGAGCCTCATATCTCCATTTCTTACTGGCTCTGTTGTCTCAAAACAGAAACAGAAAAACATCTAAATGAGATAAACTAAAAACAACTTAGTTTAGTTAGAGAGAAGAAGAGAGGCAGGGCCTTCTCCAGACAAGACAGGGTCTTTTTATTTTTTCTCGTCTTGGTTTTATGTTTTATTCCAGCTTTAAAGGTGAGTTAGGTCAGTGTTTTGATCAGGATTTTATAAAACTCTGTAAAATTCCCATGTGATCAGACTCCTTTAACTCATGACTCGTGATATGTGAGTGTTTTGACAGTGGACTGGTGGTTTTCATGATACTGGAGAGTTTTTGATGTGTTTGTTGTTGTTTTGGCCTGACTGAAGGCTGAGAGTTCAGACTGTTCACAAGTGTCGTTGGGACCTTGTGTAGATGCGTGATAACCTGACGGCGCTCAGAGGAGGAGACCATAAAACAGCAGCACTCAGGCCTGTTTCTGGTTAATGCTCCAGGCTCCACGTCGTCACTCTCAGGAATGAGCTCAAAATCAAAATAAATATCTTTCATAAAGACTGAGGGTATATTTGAGTTCGTTTCGATCTGCAGCTCCTTTCCACACGTTTATGTCCACTTATTTAAGACAAAAATGCTCAGTAATGTGCAGTCTGTTAACCCTGTTCCTACACAACACTGATTACATTTTGCCTTAAAAGGTGTATTTTCAGATTGCAACTCCCTCGCTTCATCCTGGCCTTTCAAGCGCAAAGGAAAATCTATAGTGACTGTGAAACGTGCAAAAAAACGTTTGGTTTGTCCTTTCTGGGCTATTGTAGAAACATAGCAGTTCAAAGTCCGCAGCATTTGTAGATAAAAATCTCATTTTAATGTAACAAAAACACAAAATTTCCTATATTCAGGTGATTATACACTAATA